GTGTTACTACAGTGTATACTTAAAAAGTGTGGGTAATGTGGGAGGAGTAGGAAATCCTTACTTTTAGTTTCTTAATGGCTGCTAAACCCCCACAAGTTAGAGTATACAGAGGGCATTCAAAGAACAAAACAAACATACTTGTCTTATCTCTAGGGAGTTTTTCCCATCTGTAGTCTATGTAGATTATTGAGTTTATTGTTCAGAAATAAGCCAGCTACCTAAGTTGGCTGCACAATATTCATTCAGGTGTTTTGATTCCTGAGGTGCTTCCCAGAGCTTTCTTGAATATCAGTAGCTCACTCATCTTGAATTCAAGTACATGAAGACATGAAGCATTTGTACTGTCTCTGCACAAGCCTGTGTTAACTAAAAAAATATTTCCAAAGCATGTTGCCAGTAGTTCAAAATACCTTTTGAAGTAATATAGTCTTAAATGTGTGTGACCTCCTAAATGGAAGTAGTCTCTACTAATATCATTAAGATGTTGCCATTTCATGGTGTACATATCACATATACATTTCAGGAGAGTACTGTCTTTCATATTTAGCACTAGGTTACTACTTTGTTTCTGGAGTGTGCTTATGGTTAATATTACCTTTCTTTTACATCTTTTCAGGAGTATGATGATGGTTATGGAACTGCTTATGATGAACAAAGCTATGATTCCTATGATAACAGCTATAGCACTCAAGCGCAAAGGTAAGTCTCTACATCTGCTGTAACTACATGTGAAATATTCTACAGTTGGAAAGTTAGCTTTACTTAAAGATTTTTTCAATTTCATCTTAAACAGCAAAAATATTGTAAGAGGCTTATTAGAAATAACCTCCAGTGTTATTTGTCTCTAGTATCACATAAGTATAAAAGTCAAGTTTTTGAGTGGTTGAAAAGAAGCAGAAATGAGAACTTCAAAGAGTTTTAGTGATGTGAAATAATAAATCAGTTTTCATAAGTTCAGGAAATTCGGGAAAATTTAATTCAGATCCATTTTGGGAGGGAGTGGGGGCAGGGAGAGGAGAAAAAAAACTTTACAAAAGGTATTAAATAATCTGAAACAGAGCTGATTGCATTTTCTTACTACTTAAACATGGTTACATTCAAGTATTTTACCTTTATTTGGCTGTAAAAAAAGTAGTACAACGTTTAGTTTGTTTTACTCCATTGTGGAATTGTCTGACAGATTTGAATTTCTTGCCATTTGTGTTCCTTTCCCCACTTCATTCTCAACAGTATTTTTAAGCACTTGTGATTTATTTTCTTTAAATTTTGCTTTCTTCAAAGGAGTTGCTATTTGAAAACTCCATGAATTTCTAGGAATACTAATGTTTCCCAATGATGGGAAAAATGCTATGAAGTACAAACTACTTGTATTAGGTGGTAGTTTGAACTTAATGGCAAATATCATGACACATTATTTAGCAGCTCGTCTATTAGCTACTTCTAATGTGCACGTCTGGAAAGGGACCTTCTGTGTGCCTTTTACTGAGTTGTGATTTATTCTCACTCTTTTTCTCTTAGACCAAGCATTCATAGTTTGATCAGTAGTAGATTTTCTAATGTCATTGAGAATTTTTTGAAACTTTTCTGGCAATGAACTTGAAATGGTTGAAACAAGCGTGTTGAAAAAACAGTAAAATACAAAATAAAATGCTCTAGTTCTGCATTACTGCTTTGGTTATTTGGGCTGACTAGGGCTTCGAACCTTGCCCTCTGGGAAGAAGAAAACAGTAGGAAAGAGAGATATTGGTCGATATTGTGATATTGATCAACAGATACTGATTAGACTGTTTTACCTTCTGCTAAATATGTATGACTTTTTACAATGTAGTCTTATCTGAAATAGTACAGAACTCTTCACAGCAAAGCTGAGAACAAAGCTGTTTACACTTGACATCTGCTTTGCTGTAGTGTTGACACACCCGGCTTGAATTTTGTGGTATAAATGAATATTTTCCTGTGCCCAACAATTTAGTCAATGTGAAAAGCTTAGTGGAAAGTTCAAGTGTCATTATTGTTGAGAACTAACAGAATGAAAATACCTTTGTGTCTGATACTTGGCTCCTACAAAGTCTTATAAAATACTGAAAATTGATAAAAATAATATGACATAGGAAACCAGCAGCGTAGAACCCTCAAAATATGAGGCTTTATAGGATGTTACATTTGGAGAGCAGCTGCTGGTAATGGATTCTTTTTTCCAAAAAGAAAATTACCAAAATAGTCCTCAACTTTTATGTTGGTAATTCTGTTCTGTTTTACTGCTTCTAGTGTTTGTAATGAAGTCCAAATGTTTGTGTGCAATAAACCCATTTACCAAGTCATTTGCCTGAGCCAAAACTAAACATTACTTGGATTTGATACTTTTTTCCATGTTAAGAATATTTTCACTAGGATTTTTTCCTTTGAACTAAAATTAGCAAAAAGCAAATCTCCCAAGAAATTAAATTGCTCTTGTAAAGGACTAATACATAAGAATATAAATAATAACCTTAGATATATGTGCACATGCTCAGCCAGTCTGCAAGGAGATACTACATAAAATTATTGCTCTGCTTTGTATTTTACCTGTAGTTTCACAATACATATACTCTTAGATTTTGCTGAATTCGTTATCTTCTGAATGCTTACTTCAATCCCCTACCCCCTCCCCCCCATTTTATTAAGTGCTTCATGGTAAAAGACAAAAAGAAGTGATTCACTTGTACATTTCTCACGGGGTATCAACACCCATTTTTTGGCATATTTTTTGGCTTGTCAAAAACGATTTTTAGGATTGTATTGGCAGGCAAAAGGTAATAACTGTAAACAGCCATCTGAGCTACCTAGAACAGCATTCCTATCTTTAATCGGAATATCAAATAGTAGCCCATATTGCAAAATGTCATTTTGTAACCACTAAGAGATACTTATCATATTTAGGTACATTACAAGGTCCTTACTGTGAAGGAAATTAGGGAAAAGTGTATTGTTTTCGTAGTTTAGCCTTGTATCATTTTTGGTATTTTGCCCTCATAAAGCATGGAAAGAAAATACATTTTCACATAGAGGGCATTCATGTTTTTTAAAATGTGCCATTTAGTGACTAGCAGGTGTAAATAACTTTTCCTCTTTCCTTGTGTAAGTTGAAAGCAGTAGTCTTAAAGTAATACTATTTCTACTATGTTTTCTGATATTAATTTCTCTAGAAGATTGCATATTAATGGTATTGTGTATTGAAGAGGAAATCTCAGAAATAGTAAACTGAAAAGATGGGTTTGCTCATTAAACTATTTGCAGTAGTTTTTCAATATATGAACCCTCTTCCTGCACCTCATCAGACTTGGTTAATGTTCACAAGTGTACTTTGTGTGTACAATGTACACGTATTAAGAGTGGAGACAGTTGAAATACTCATTTTTAAAGTTTTTGCTTATTTTAGTGATTCCTCTGTTAAAGATGGAAGTTCTCCAGATTTGACCATTCAGTACAATGCATCATGACTCTCCTTTATCGTTTTTAATTTTGATGTTTCTAGTGTATTTCCCAGAAATGGCCAAATCTAGGATGGACTAGGATGGGTGATAAGTTCAGATATGAAGAATAGCATACCGTATATTTCTGTGTGCATTATGGTAGTTCAGACTTTGCATGCCTCTGCAAACATTTCTTCCTTTCTATAACCTAACTGCTTGCTGCTACCAAATCATGTGCGTTTAAAGGTTTGATGGCATTTTATTTGACATTGTGTGAGATTGTGTCCTTGCTTGTGCTTGGCAATCTGAAGCTTTAGTTAAAACCTGTCACAGCACTAATAGGGAGAGAAATGTCAGAGTTTTTCTCCAAGCTCTCATCCATCTTAATGCCCTGTAATCCTATAAAAAAATAGTTTTCTTTTAAAATGTTTTCTTATCCATAGTTGTTTGTTCATGCAACAAAGCCCCAAATAGTGCTTCAGGATGTCTTTTAACAGAATTATTTTTTTATGGTCAAAAAGACTTAAAAAAAAATCCCTTGGAGCTGTACTGAGCTTGACTAGATATCTTAACTGATTTTTAGAAGACGTGTGACTAAATTATACATATAGTTTCTTGCAGAGGATTGTTAGATGATATTTTTACCAATATAAACTGGGATGGTTAATCAACTGGTCTATTCAGTATTGTTATAAAAAAAACACAAAGCAATCTAAAATTAATTTAACAAAATATTTCTCGATTTCTGAAAAGCAAAGGCTAGCAAATACTTAAAGCAGCCGAGACAGTTTTGCCTTAACAAAAGCATAATGAACACTGTCGAAAGCTATGGTCCTTTATGGTTGATACTCAATGCCTGGCTAAGGAGAAGCAGCAAGACTAGGCTGAATGTTAGTCTGTCATGTGGGGCAGACTTCACATTATGCAGTCATAATATTTTCTTATGTCAGATGCATGTAGATTTGTCAGCTCCTCTCACTAGTGTATATGCATGGTTACTTACACAACCTAGCTGACTCTTAAAGGACTTCCTCAAATCTGTATGGAACTTGTAATCCTTGGATTTATTGCAGAAAGTAGTGGGTGTTTTAATGGCCTGCTGTTAATGCTAGACCAATTTTATTATGAAAACTCAAAGAATATTGTGGAGGAAGCAGGAGCGTTTAGTTGGGTCTTCATTTACATTTGTAGATCAGTTTAAACATTTTCAGCATGAAGAAAAATTCTATTTATTTTAAATCTCTGAAATATGTTTCAAATTGAGCAAAAGTGCTTTTGTCCCTTAGTGGCTCCATACATGATCTGCTCAAGTGTTTGCGAAGACAATAATGGGGCAAAGGGAAATGGATGCTAATAAATCAATTGGCACTGTCAGTTCACTGTTAATGTTCTCTAGAATACATAAGATTTATCACTGAGGAATTGTAGAATAATGGTAGTGTATGGAAACAAAGTCCACCAGGGAGATGTACTACATCATTCGGATTTAGCGCTGCCATCTGCTTAATAGCATTGAGATGACTACAGAGGTACTTATGATCAACCATTCATAGCAGTGACAGATGCTGCAGAGAGCTAACATGCCAGAAAAAGAGGTTTGTTACTAAAATTCAGATTATGTGACAAGGTTGCCGAGAAAGGGGGCTTGGTTTGTTACCTCTCCAACAGCACTAAAGGTTTACTGTGTGCTTTTAAGTTTACTATCAAGAGAGAATGGCTAACACAGTTACTGTAGTACAAAAAAAATGTGGAGAACCCCATCTGTCTGCTTCGTGGCACTCAGAAGTTTCAAATAACTTCTTTGGGCTTGTCTACTAGTATTTAAAACTGGATACTTCTTTTCTTGGGGGGAAAAAAAGCCCCAAACCTGCTTTTATCTAGCTTTATTGTTTTTTTACCTACAACAGAGATCAGCAGTCTTAACTATAAAAGCAACAGTTTGTATAACTATATGCCTGTGCCTGTTTAGGGGCACAAATAATGTCATTCATGTAGTAATGTAGTCACTTTGTGGTAGTAATGTAGTCATTTTGTGTTTAATTAGAATTTATAATGTAAAAGCTGGCTTAGGTCTTCAGTCTTGGTGATGTCACCTTCACTCTGTTGCAGGAGAAATTAATCTAAACACTGGCATAAAAGGGGAAATATTAGGACTTAAGGTAATTGCTGGCATCGTCTGCAGTTTTGTGCAATGTTTTCTGGTTTCTGCACTTACTAATGCTCTAGATTTCTCTCGGCAACAACCAT